TCTAAGTCCCAAATCTCTTGCACACTTCTTACTACACTCTGACCCTGACTGCTAGCAGACTGCTTCGTAAAAGGAGGAGACGGCATCCTAGTCCTCCTCGGTCCAGTACGTTATGGATGCAATAAATACTTGAATACTTAAAGAGTTACAACCGATATAAACTGACCGTGGAGTGTGGAAGACTTAACGGGTTGCCGGGGCTCCGGCTCGACGAGCAGGAGAAGGAACGGGGTGTTTTTTAGTCAGTAAAAGTCTGACACTCCCTCTCGCCTCACCCAGGCGGGAGAAGTCATTGGATGATTTTCCACACTCAAAAAAAAAAAAAAGTATAAACTGACCGTGGAATGTACGGAAACGTCATCTAAAGCGAAATAAATTAAGCTAGGTAGGTAGTACTCAGGTAGGCGTCACTGCAGGGGTGCCAACTGAAAACCAGTGTTGGGTACTTACTGTGCCCAGCTTAAACTGAGTTGGCGAGCCCTTTCGTCGCGGACATGCTGCCACCCTGTTTTTTTTTTATTTTGCTTTTTTATGTTTTTTGCCTTCATTGTTGTTTTATTTTTTACTGCTGTTTTTTTATGTTATTATTGTTTTGTTCTTATTGTTTTTTATTTTATTTTATTTTTTTTGTTTTTCAATGTTATTTTGTTATTATTTTGTGTGTTATTCGGTGGTCCATGTCGGTGGCGAATAAATTATTTTTCTTTCTTTCTTTCTTTCTTAGTATAAAAAATATCGGTCAAGTAAAAAATAGGGTAGGTAGGTATTTTATGATGGGCTACCCGGCTTCGCACGGGTGCAATATGCATGTATTATACATATAAACGTTCCTCTTGAATCACTCTATCTATTAAAAAAACCGCATCAAAATCTGTTACGTAGTTTCAAAGATTTAAGCATACAAAGGGACATAGGGACAGAGAAAGCGACTTCGTTTTATACTATGTATGTAGTGATGATGTACACGTATTTTTTCTTTTCTTATAGAACCGAAAGCTTATTGATATTGATTTAAACTTTTTAATGGAATGAGACATCGCGTTCTAATACCATATCGACTGGTGATTTGGTCCTTCAGAATAGGGTAGTTTACTAAATTTTATTTTAATGTCCGTCTGGTAGATTAACTCGTCGAGTACCGTCATTATAGAGACAATTATAGAACAATAGGTTGCGGTCACCGGTGACCGCTTGGTGTTTGGCAGTTTAATTTAAAACATTACACACGTATTTTTTCTTTTCTCACAAAATTAAATACTACCGACTATTTACGTATATAATAATTTGAAATAATATTATTGTGTAAATAATATTATTGTGTGTTGTAAAAATATAATTGTGTTTGTGCCTGGTGTTGTACTGAATAAATTATTTTTCTTTAATTCTTTCTTTCAAATAATGGGTGACGTCACAAAACTACATTTTTGTAGCACTTGTGACGTAACTCCTAATCTTAACTGCATTTTAATCTAAGTATTGTAACTTTATACCAGCAAATAAAACAGAAAAAGCAGTGTCTAATATTTTTCATTATCTAATTTCCGGCCTAATTATATTTTTAATTTTCATACACTGTTTAGGTACTACCCTATTAAATGAGGTCAACTTGGCTTTTAATTGAATTAAATGAAATAATTGACTCCATTATGCATAAATGTTTATAATATAGGTAACTCAGGATCATAATCATAACCGTTTGTATCTTCTACCTATTTATTTATCGTGTCGAATTTTTTTTTACTTTGTAACCCCACAATCACTCTAGCAACACTACACAATACCTGTCAATGATCTTTTAAATCATTGCATCTCTTTCACACTTATGCACTTATGTATTTCGGTCCTGTATTTCTTGATCAAGGCCTGGTATATTAATGAGCAACTGATCAAGGTTTCATTGCAGATCGAATTTTTCATTTCGCAAGTAACGTTCGGAGTGGTTAATCGTGCACTAACTACCGATAACTCAGTTTGCTGAAATTACCCTCAAAAATAATTCTCAAATTTATTTTATTCAAGTCTCCGTCGCACACAGCAGGTATGCAGATTTCAATATTGTAAAATAAATTTGAATTGGTAACTCCATGTCTCGAAAAGGCCGGCAACAAATTTGTGAATCCTCTGGTGTAGCGGGTATCCGTTCATGAGCGGCACTGGGTGCTTACCATCAGGTGATTCGTCTGCTCGTTTGCTGTGCTTTTCCACAAAAACTTTAAATAGCAAAATTATAGTAAGAATAATTTTTATCGTTTTCTCTTTGTAGGTATACCTTCAAAATGTCTCGAGATACGTTTTTAATTACAACTGCGTGCGAGGATATGAGTTTTGGTGTCCAAGGAGCATTTCTGTGGCCGTATAAAACTTGAGGTAAGTTCCGTTGTTATATTTTTATCTTTCATCATCTTCATCACCAGCCTATAAATGCCCACTGCTGAGCAAAGCCTCTTCTTACACGGAGAAGGTCTGAGCATTAATCACCACGCTTGCTCAATGCGGGTTGGCGATTTCAAACTTATAATCTGAAATTATAAGTCCAGTGGTGTCTAAATAATCTTAATTGGTACTCGCCGTTGGTAGGTTTCGTACCCGCACCCTCGTGCATGAGAAGAGGGCGTCTTAAACCTCCAGGCCACGACAACCTTTAAAAACCATAATCCACCATCTTTAAAAAGTATAAAATTGTTCTGTTCACTTTTTTACATATGTAGGGTAAACGAGTATTTGACCACATTTTTTTTATTTATGGAAATACATTGAATTTAGTCTTGTTCGTATTATGTATTAGGTACTTAATTCTTCTTAACAAGATAAATAAAATTGTAGTGTCTGTTTATAACATTAAAATAACTGCTTTTTATCGACTTAAAAAACAGGAGGAGGTACTATGTTCGGCTGATTGTTTTTTTAACTACATGCATATGAATATACATACGATAGACATACCAAAATATTTTTTACAATTTTGTTTGTCTGTCTGTCTATTTGTACTGGCTAATCTCTAAAATGCCTGGACTGATTTTGACGGAACTTTTATTGGCAGGTAGCTAATGTACTAAATTGTAACATAGGCTACTTCTATGTTAGAAAATTTAAATAAAATTGAAAAAAAAAATTATATCCTAATATTCATATTATACGCGGACGTAGTCGCGGGTAACTGTTAGTAACAAATAGGATTATAGATGATACTTTATGACAAACAGTCAAGAAAATAGCGTATTCCTTTTTAAACTGTCAAACACCGCGAGGACATTGGTGATCGCAACCTATTGTTCTTTGTGTCTATAATGACGGTACTCAGAGAGTTAAAGGCTGGAAATGCACCTATGACTCCTCTGGTGTTGCGGGTATCCATGGGCGGCACTGATCCCTTACCATCAGGTACTCCGTTTGCTCGTTTATCTCCTTTAATCATAATTAGATTATGGATGACTACACGTAGTGTAGCCCACGACTTCGTCTGCGTAGAATATGATTCCTGTTTTATCCCTTGGGGTATTTAATCGGGATAAGTATCCTATCACCTAAGTCAGTCGCGGAGAACCTAACGGGTAACCGGGGCCCCGGCTCGACGTGCAGGAGAAGGAACGGAGTGGTTTTTAGTCGGTAAGAGTCTGGCACTCCCTCCCGCCTCACCCAGACGGGAGCAGACATACGATGATTTTCCACCCTTAAAAAAAAAAAAATCACCTACGTCAGCCTATATCCTGCCTGTATACCAAATTTTATCAAAGTCCGTTCAGTCAGTAGTTTCAGTGTGATTGATAGACAAACATTCAAACAAAGAAATTTTCACATTTAGCATAATGTGATGGTGAAACAAAGGATCGGAAGAAAATATTCAGTAATTATTCATCTAACCCCAATAAAAAAAGATAATTTTCTTAATACATAAATCTCTAGAATCTTCAACTAAAGATCGAGAATTTAAATCGAAACGCGACTGCCTTGTTTATTAATTTTAATGGTCACAATAAAATTGTGCGCCTCGGATTTTATACCGGAGTCTGGCAAAGTATTATTCGCTTTTTATGGTTTATTAAAAATGTGATCGTATAGAAGTCGATAATTATTGTAACCATTCGAAAAATAGGTGCCGCATAGTTATTTTGCACCAAAATTTACTGTCTTGTGAATTAAACAAGCATAATTATTATGTTTTTTATTGTTCATGTATTTTATTTGGATGGGACAAACAATCACCGTATTTTTTCTGCTCCAAATTGTAGCTCAAATAGCTTTAATACTTTAATAAATACATATCTTTACTTTCTTTATTGAATTAAAGTTTACCCACATCTGGTAGGATTTATCACTGGAAATTTTTTACTTTAAAGTTACATTAAAATACCTACGTTGTTGAAAAAATAATGTTCAGTTTGTTATTTAGTAATGTTGAGCTTGGACAGTGGAATATTTTAATAATTATCAGAATTATTTATTCCAGGGAGAATACTAGGTAAACATATTCTGAATAAAAGGTTGAAGCTTAATTATTAAGAACGAAAATATTACATATTTTGTATGATTTTATATTTAATGACTTTTGACAGGTGTTTTATAATTTGGCAACACAGGTCGTGGCATGGCAACACTGTCCGCGGCCGCGTTTCATATCACCAGTGAACAAAAATAAGATGATAAACATTTTGTATTAATCTATCTCTTTCTCACTTGCGCGATCGATATATTTCTGTCCTGCTTTAATTTTTGGTGTTTTGACTAAAATTTGACAGAGACAGAGACAGATGACAGATGTTATGCATTCCTTCAATCCATTTTCAAAGTAAAAAGTAATTTGAGCGCGGCAAACTGTGCATTAAAATTTTAATTAAATATTTTACGATTTTCGTAAATATAAATTCAAGTTTTTAATACGAATCAGTGCCTCCCTGTTTAACAATAATATTGTGAATTAAATGCATAGAACATTGGAAAATTGGTGGTAATTTAGTCGTAAAAACATAATTTTTGTCACAAATTTTTCGTGTACCCCCAACATGTCGCGAGTAAAGTTGAATTTAATCGCTGCTGCTTGTGAAAACATGGGTATTGGTGTTAATGGTGCTCTGCCATGGCGCTTGAAGTAAGTTTTTTCGCAAATTATCCTGTATTATACACATAGTAACTTAATTTAGTTTTTAGTACCTAAGTTAGGTTAAGTAGTGTTTGTTGCGGTTAGAACTACGAATCACACGCTACTGCAGATTATTTAAATACTGATTATAGTGCAAACAATTAATTTCAATAGAATTATATAAGTTTTTATCATTTTTATAAAATAAGACCCATGTAATATAAAATATATGGTAGGCCTATCGTCATAACATTGAGAACAATGCTATCGGCTATCCGCAATAGAAAATAGAGAATAAAATAATGTTCTACCTATTTTCTAAAGGGTTACTTATGTTCATAAACATACTAACATACTATTCTATTTTTTTTATAATTAGGTGTATGTGGGTAGTTGAATGCAAGCTTTGGTCTCTTAGGTCACTTAGGTCCAATTATACTGTTTAACTCGTCGAGTACCGGTTTTATAGACAGAATTAAAGAACAATAGGGTGCGGTCACCGGTGACCGCTTGGTGTTTGACAGATTAAACTGTCCTGTCTGACCGCGAATGTCGGTACTCAAAGAGTTAAAGATGGACTCGATTTTAGTTATAAAATATAGGAACTAAGAAATTATTTTTGCGTAAACATTTAGTTTTAAATGGTCATCTTATTATCGTATATTTTTTTTATTTTATTTTTGTCCTTGTAAAGCTGAGTTTGTTTCAAGTCTAATCTCCGGAACTACTGGTCTGGATTGTATAATTGTTTTTGTATTGGATAGATTATTTATCGAGGAAGACTAGCAGCGTAAACATGCTATGATCAATAGTAGATGAGCAGAGTAGTTAGTATAATAATACTGAATAATAGGGTAGTTTACATTAATAATAGACAAAAAAGTTTAAGTTAAAAAAAAGTTTCCTAATTTAATTCAATGTCTGTATGGTAGATCAATTTAAAACATTAGACACAATTTCTTTCCTTTTATTCACAAAATTAAGTACTTTTGACGATATATTAATTTGAAATATTGTGTGAAGTCAAAACATGCTATATTTTGTAGTACTTTGTGACGTAACAACCTCCCACTCCTAATCTTAACTCTATTTTATCTAAGTATTGTAACTTTTTATCTGACTGCCTCATTGGCCGAGTGGTCGCAAGTGCGACTGCCGGGCATGGGCTTGATTCCTGGGTTGGGCAAAGTATTACTGGGTTTTTAAAAAATTCTCAGTAGTAGCATGGAGTCTGGAATTGTGCCCGGTATATGGCAATAGGATCACCCTCTATTACATGGGACTCATAACATAATTAGTGAAAAGTGGGTGTTACATTGTACAGTGGCATAATGTGTACCTTTGCCTACCCCTTCGGGGATAAAAGGCGTGATGTTAAGTTTATGTTATGAAAAAAAATCTGATATTTAAATTAACATTAAATGTTTAATCTTTACAGAAAAGAGATGGCATACTTCACAACAATGACGAGTAAGGTCAAGGATTCCAGCAAGTTGAATGCTGTGATCATGGGACGTCGGACATGGGACTGTATCCCAGACAAGTACCGGCCTCTGTCAGACCGAGTCAACATCGTGCTCACTCATAATGTCGATGCTGTTAAGGAAAAGGTTGGTACTAACCATACTATTAAAATGAAGTATTTGTGAAGGAAAACACCTGAGGAAATCTAATTTCTAGTTATAAGTTTTAAATCTCTAACCTGATTGAGCAAGCGTGGTGAAATATGGATGATGACAGGGTATGACAATTTAAAATCTAATTAGTCCGTCAGTTAGGTAATGAAAAAATATTAGACACGTATTTTTATTTTGTCGTATAAGAAAACAATCCTTACTTCCTTACTTCCTTATCCTTACTAATATTATAAATCTGAAAGTGAGTTTGTTTGTTTGTTTGTTCCACTTTCACGCCGTAACTACTCAACCGATTGCTTTGAATTTTTGCAGACGTAAAGTTAGAAGTCCGGATTAAATAATAGGGTACTTTTTAACCCGGAAAAAAATGATATTCTCAAAGAAAAACAAAAGTATTGGTATAGATGGCGCTGTTTGTATTGGTATATGTTACATAGGCTACTTTTTATTCTTTTGTGACGCGAGCGAAGCCGCGGGTAAAAGCTAGTACTTAGATAAAACGAATCAAAGTTTAGGAGTGGGAGGTAGCTACGTCATTTTAGAGTATAAATCGTAGGTACTCAAGTGACGTCATGCGATACCTACTTCAAATCAATATATCTTCGAAACTATTCATTTCAGTAAGAAAAATAAAAATACGTGTCTAATGTTTTTAAATTATCTACCAGACGGACATTAAAATATAAATTAGTCATCTAATTACCCAAGCAGTTAACGGTGAACTCCACTTACTCCATTATAGACCTTATTTCTGATGATTAAATACTACTTTTGTTGGAACAAATGTTCTCGTTTTATCGTAAACGTGGATTAAGAAGTCAATGCTCAACTCTAACTAATGAACAAAAATGTTAACCTACCTATATCTTACATTATTAAACACTACTGCCTCGTTGGCCGAGTGGTCGTAAGTGCGACTGCCGGGCAAGGGGTCATATTTCATGGGCAGACGTTTGACCACTATCTCGCCTGGTGAGAAATGATGTAGTCTATCTACGATGGATCACGTCGTCCCATCAGCAACCTATTAACTCTGGCCTTAACCTTTTGAACGCCAGAGCAAAAACGCATGAACTTGCCCTCAACGCCAGGCCACAAATTCACCGCAAATACCTACGAAAAAAATAGGCATTCCAAAACTTCATCGATAATCAATTTTATTTTCATTTTCGTCTTTAATTTCGAAATATAATGTCCTTATAACATTGAAATTTAATTCAACATTACATTTCTTCCTATTAAAGTAATAGTTATACACTATTTACAGACTTGTATAATACCGTAATAACAGATATGAAACTACAATATATTTAAATATAATAACTGTAGGTACAACACTATTCTTGATCTGCTGTCTTCATATTGTGACCATGGCGTGGACGGCCCGCCATTTTAATAACTACTTCGCTTCCGAAATAAGGATGTGGCAACGTAATATCTCGTTTATCGATGTTCTAGTACAATATTATTTTATAATAATTGAAACACGTTTTTTAAATCAGATTTATAATTCCGAATCTATGTAACAGGTACTTAAAAATATATGATTGAAATAGGTTAAGAAGGTAAATAAAAACTATGAAAAAATAGAAAATTTTAATAAAATGTTATACAGTATGTACTATGTATACATGTTTTTAAATATTAAGTTCTATAAACCTGGCATAAAAAGTAACAAATTAAAACAATTAACGATTATATATAATTATCACAATTACCAATCAGTCTTATACTAATAAATCTTTTGAATAATAGAACAAAATTATACAAAATCTACAATGCAACCTGATCATCTAATTCGCTGGGTGCAAAGTGGGTGGTGGGGACAGTGAAATCGATCTCAGCGCGCACCGTGGCTAAAAAAGGAACTTTTGGCAGACTTTATTCCACGAAGTTATAGGTAAATATGGAGCCCACACTTAGAATAAAAGTTTCGAGTCAAATACTCTCGCTCCTATTCTCTGAGGCAAACTGAGGTCTGATCTCTTTTTCTAGTGTACTACAGAAATTGAAACAAACTGACCTCAGACAGTAGAAGAGAAATAAAAATTCAAGTAGGTATTTCAAGTGTGTACTGTGTACTCCATCTTTACCTACACCTTCATGCTTTATTCACTGCTTACTCCTCGTAAAGACAATGACAGTCAACTATTTGACGTACCAAGGTAAATAATTAAATTCCCACTCATTATAATAGTCACTTAATATAAATCTTGAACTCGATATCACAAGTAAATTAATCATAAATATTATTCATTCACTTCACTAATTTCTGGTCGCCGCGCTTGTGACGTCACGATATTGTCGTCTAGTCGTGACCATGGCGTACAGGGTACTGATAATTCGGGTTGCGTTAGGGATGCGCTTGAGTTGGAATTAGTGAATATCGAAATTCGACCCAACCAAATTTTATTTTTGACTATGTAGCTTATTGAATGATTTTTAAGACTGGTTTTATAAAATTAATGCTGCTTTATCCTAGTACCAAATTATACCTAAAATAATATATTCCAGAGGAAAGTTTCGAATCGATCTTTGATTTGAAATAATGATATTATCCAACATGCGCTACATCACTAGCGGTCACGCAGTTATGACTCTGGCGTGTGAGGACATTCTTTTTTCAGAGTTTATTTCTTTCTTTTTAACGTAAAATTTCTCAATATTTATAATGCAATTCAATTAGTTTTATGGAAATAAATAAATTTTGGACCTTCTATTTTACAGGTATATAAATAAATAGGCATTAAAGTAATGTTTAAATAGTTTATTTCGTGTTTTGATGTACCGCTGTTTTTGTCACATATTTGTGTCGTTGGCGCTCAGGGACAGTTTTCGCTTGTCACGTATTTGTGACCCTGGCGCTCAAAAGGTTAAACACACCCAGGTGTTTCCCTTCAGGAAATACAGCCTCTGGCAATAATTCCACTCCTTAGCAGTACGCACAAGGAAGCTTGATGCGTAGCGCTTTGTGCGAGTGGGTGGGACATCTACCCATAAATCGGTGACGCTACCATAAATCGGTGACGCTTCGCCGATTGTCTTGTGGTACGATGATAGAAAGGACTAGAGGGAATCAAGTTGTTAAAATTGGTATTTCTAAAACTCGATCATTGTTAAGTATTTCGTTAATTTTATCATTCTAATGATGACCTTAACTCGTAACCTTATGTTCAAATAAATCGATAAAACACCTCTTTATCAATAGGTACCGGGAGCAAAGAGACGGGAACCACTAGAATAATTTTTTTCATCTATACATACAATAAAACTGTAGAAGTGTAATCTGACTGCCGAGTGGTCGCAAGTATGACTGCCGGGCAAGGGGTCTCGGGTTCGATTCCCGGGTCGCGCAAAGTATTACTGGGTTTTTTTGAAAAAAAATCTCTTACTACTACTTATACTTATTAAATACTTTGCCCGACCAGGGAATCGAACCTGACAGCTCTTGCCAAGCAGTCGCACTTGCGACCACTCGGCCAACGAAGCAGTCATATAAGTTTTTGGTATTATTCTTGATTCAATTTTGAGAGTTTGAACCTTTGCAGTTAATGTTAAAAATCTCACATTTTACACAGTCACTCTCCTTCGTTCCAGGTGCCAGAAGGAGTGGTGGTTGTTCCAGGATTGGATGAGGCTGTCCAGTACATCGAGGGTCGAGAGGATATAGAGTCCACCTGGGTCATTGGAGGATCTTCCATCTACCAGGTATTTAAGACGTTTTGTCATTACATAGTATAAAACAAAGTCGCTATCCGCCGTCTGTCTGTCCTTATATATGCTTAGATCTTTAAAACTACGCAACGGAATTTGATGCGGTTTTTTTTAATAGATAGAGTGGTTCTTAAGGACCTTTTATTTGTAAAATACATGCATATTGCATCCGTCGAAGCCGGGGCGGGCCGCTAGTTTGTACTAATGGCGTTCCATAGTCCCTGCCTAGTACCTACCCCCATCGCCTAACCTGTTGCGGCGTCCCGCTCGGACGCTGCTCATGGCACAGAGGGTCATGGCGATCCGAATGATCCGCGGATACCGCACGATCTCTGGGGAGTCGGCGAACCTCCTTGCCGGATTACCGCCGTGGGATCTGGAGGCGAAGGTGCTCGCGCGCGTGCACAGCATGCGCGCAGAGGCACGTCGCCGGGGCGAAACTCCGCTGCCGCGCCAGATAAGTGCGTGGCGGGATGAGCTCCGGCGCGATCTCATGGCGGAATGGCAGCAACGACTGTCGCAACCGAGGACTGGGCTCGCTGCCATCGCAGCGGTAAGTCCCCTCTTTGAGGAGTGGCTTGAGAGACGCTACGGCGTCCTCACCTACCGCCTGACGCAGGTCCTCACCGGACATGGCAGTTTCGGGAGGTACCTGTGTCTGATGGGGCGGGAGGAAACGCCCGGGTGTCATCACTGCGAGGACCGCCCTGAGGACACGGTGGAACACACGGTGGGAGAATGCCCTTCGTGGGCTGAGCACCGCCGTGTCCTCAGGGAAGTGATCGGCGATGGCGACCTCTCGCGTCCGGGCCTAGTGCAGGCCATGATGCGGAGCGAGGGGGATTGGGATGCCGTCTCCTCCTTTTGCGAAGCAGTCATGCTAGCTAAGGAGGAGGCGGGACGCGTGAGGCAGCGAAGCGCTGCCTCCTCGCAACCCAGCCATCGCGAAGGACACACCGGGCGTCGGGGATCGCGGGACGATCTCCGGCCACCGTAAGCGCGGGCCTGCGGACGGCGAGCATGGGTGGCTCCCCGTCCGACCAGAAACAGACCCGAGCGTACGGCGCGTCGCGTTCCGCGCGCGCCTCAAAGAGCCATCAGACCACCACAGATGGGGCCCAATAGGGCCGATGCCGATTCGGAGTCGCGGAGAACCTAACGGGTAACCGGGGCTCCGGCTCGACGTGCAGGAGAAGGAACGGGGTGGTTTTTAGTCAGTAAGAGTCTGACACTCCCTCCCGCCTCACCCAGGCGGGGGCAGTCATTCGATGATTTTCCCCCCTTAAAAAAAAAAAAAAAAGTACCTACCCCCATGGGAGGCGTGAGGTTATGTATGTAATGTTGTTGATATTGTTTATCAGAACACGCTAATCCGAAATTACGGGTGCATATTTGAAGATTTCTTAGTTGATTTCAAATTCAAATTCAAATCACTTTAATGCTTCTATAGTGTGTACAGGGTTGTTTACAATTTTTTAAAAAATATGTTCCAACTATAGGCCCATTTGGGCACCGCAAAAGTACTTACTCTACTTACAAGTTACAAAATAATATTTTTTAATTAATGCAATAATTTAATTATTTCAAATCTTACATAACTATTTTTAAGAATTTGTTTTAAAGTTACAAAAGAAAAACAATTTAAATATTTTTAACTTATTACCTCAATATGGTTGATGGTCGGAGTTGGCTAGAGTCGAGTTAGTCCGTCAGTTAAACAAGAGGGTAGATGCCTAATTTTTATTTTAATGTCCATCTGGTAGATTATTTTAAATCATTAGACACATATTTTTTATTTTCTTACAGAAACGAATACTTTCAACGATATATTGATTTGAAATGTCTCGTGACGTCACTTCTATGTACATTTTATACGTAGAAGTGACGTTTTAGCCCCTCTCCTTCGTTTTATCTAAATATTTTTCTAGTCATGATTTTTTTTTTGCCCCACACTAGGATTTTCTCCTGTGTCGTGGGTGCGTTTACAAACATACAAATTCACATACACATGACACCCAGACCCGGAACAACAATTTGTGGATCACACAAAGTGTTGTTCCATGCGGGAATCGAACCCGCGACACGTTGCACGGCAGCCGGTTGCCCAGCCACCGCACCAAACGTGCAGTCAAGTATTTTTTTAATATAAATCAATAAGTCAAAATGAAAAAATACGTGTCTAAATTTTGTCATTAAGTACTTAACTTACCGACTAATTATATTTTAAATTTTCATACCCTGTCATCATCCCAATTAAAGATAGAGATTTTTTTTATTCATGCAAAAGCATGCAAGATGTTAATTGTTTAAAATCAGTGCCCAATACATGTTTTGCCCTTAGGGGCGTACAAATTCAATTTATAGTAATTACAATTCATATTAAACATGTCAAAATTAATTATTATTAAACTGTCAAACACCAAGCGGTCACCGGTGACCGCGACCTATTGTTCTTTAATTGTGTCTATAAAACCGGTACTCGACGAGTTAAATATTATTACGGTCTACATTAAATATTGGCCTATTATTTTTTTTAAATGATTAAATTTTCTTACATAAAGCGAAGTTTAGTAGTGAGAGCTGGTTACGTCAGCTTCTTTTTTATGGGATAAGCCGTTAAACGAGCGGACAGATCACCTGATGGTAACCAATCGGCGCCGTCCATGGATACCCGAAACACTAGGGGTATCCATTACAAGTGCGGTACCTTCCTTTTGGAGATTAGGAATTTGAAGATTGTTGGGTATTCGGGGGTTGGGGAGTCTTCGGTAACCTCACTCACACGACGAAACAACGCAAGCGGTATTTCACATCGGTTTTCTGTGAGGCCGTGGTATCACTGGGTTCAGACGGCCCAATAGTTTGCTGAATCATGGCTTTTGGCCCACATTCTTGTGTATTATTTTAAGTGTGGGAGAGCCATGGTTCGGCACGAACGGGCCGGCTTGACCGGAGTGATACCACGGCCGCACAAAAAACCGACGTGAAGCAACGCTTGCGTTGTGTTTCGTCGTGTGAGTGAGGTTACCGGAGGCCCAATTACCCTACCCTTCCCCAATCTTCCCAATTCCTGAATCCCCAACGATCCTCAAACTCTTAATCCCTAAAAGGCCGGTAACGCACTGGTAACGCCTATGGTGGTCCAGGTGTCCATGAGCGACGCCGATTGCTTACCATCAGGTGATCCGTCCGCTCGTTTACCGGCTTATGCCATAAAAAATATTTTGTTTACAAATGATGAATTTTTAATAAAAAGAAAACAAAAATAGGTGTCCAATATGTTGAAATAATTAATTTATTTTATCTAGCAGATGATTCAGATGAACAAGATGGTAGGATTAATCATCGATTCTCATCGCTTTCCAGGCAGCCATGACACATCCGAACTGCGGCAAGATTTACCTGACGGAGATACAGAAGTCCTTCAACTGCGACACTTTCTTCCCAAACATCGACAAACAACAGTTTCATTTAGTGAACGAGGAAGAAATACCCGAAGAAAGGCAGTCCGAAGGTGAAATAAGCTACTTTTTCCGAGTTTACAAGCGATTGTAAGTAGTTTTATAATTTAATACACAACTACATCTACTTCACACTACTTTCGCTGCAAGAAGTTCGACGGTATACCGGTAGATGGCGCTGATCTAAACTAGCATTGTACATCGGTACACTATACTCTGTTTATGAAGTTCGGCGATGTGCTTCCAGATGGCAATACAATACAAACATCGTACATTGGCACACTACAATCTGTTCAAGAAGTTCAGCGATGTATCAATAGATGGCGTTGTGCAATACTTTGTGTGTTGTTAACTTCAAGAAATTCTGCGATGTATCCATATAGGAGTTGTGTTAAAATCCTATATTGTGCATTGGTACACTATACTCTGTTCAAGAAGTTCGTTGATATGCCGCTAGATGGCACTACAAAACCTACATCGTACATTGATACACTATATTATCTTCAAGAAGTTTGGCCATGTGCCAATAGATGGCGATGTAGGAATCCTGCATCGCGTAAGTTTGGAAAATTGTGACCTGTGTGTTGTTTTGGTGCTTTTCGGCGTAGTTAGATATTGAATTAGAGGACTCCTAAGTTTTTTCAATTTCGCTGTGTTGTTAAAGTGTTTTAGCTTATTTACTGGCTAAGCTAGTACCTACATCAATTACTTAGTTCGTTGTTCATACATTCCCTATGTAAAAAAATGTCTCGAATATTTCATATCCAATTTTGATAAAACTTCGCTCGCTTTGTTATACATAGTTACACACTTCTGTCTTGTTCGCTCTAGTAATTCAGTCCAGTAGCGAGTATTTAGTATCTGTCTCTCGCTTCGATTTTGAGACAGAAGCGAGACAGAGCTAGCAACACGCTGCTCGACCAAAATACTAGCGTAGTGCGAGCTAGAGCTTTGAATTACTGCGTTTAGATATAAGTTGGTGCTAATACATCTTTTGTTGTATTCCACGGAAGGTGGGACCATTTGTCCCATCTTTCATACTTTTTAACGTTCAATATCTCGTTTAAATATGTACAGAGGCCGGCAAATCGACCTACTCGAATCTGTCAAATTTATTCATTGCATTTTCGACTCAATGTCTGTACAACAGAGAAGATGTAATAGAGAGATTTGACAGGATAGGTTTACCTGCTGGCCAGAATACCTAATGTACTTGAGTTATAATAAAACAAGTTAAATAATAATATCGCAATTAAAAGTATGCAATTTTGGTATAAATTGTCCCACCCGTAAAATGGAATGCCCCACCTGTCCAATAAAAGAAAAAAAAAAGATAATTGTTAAAATCTTACTTCCAAATGTTTTTAAGTAAACATCTTTAATTGAATTGCCATTTAATATCAATAAAAAAGAAGAAAAAGAAAATACCCAAATATGATTGAAAATAATAATAATGAAAAAAAAAACGAAAAAGATACTATGAAAAAAAGAAAAAAATAAAAAAATAAACTTAAGTATAATAAGTTATAAATGGCAATAGGAGATCGGTAATTACATAGTTAGTCTTATTATCAAAATAATTATAATTAATAATAGCTATATTGCAAATATTTTTTTACGAAAATAATATTTTGTGTATTTGTTGGTTGTTATTTAAAACTTTTATTAACGTTTTACAATAATACTTATGCCTTAATATTTAATATTTTCTGCAGTATCTACTGAAAGAGTGTTTTCGATTTGCACTCAAGAGATGGCGTTTGTAATCGTATCAAATGACAGAAGAAATACGACAGTTTGAATACCTCCATTTTTACAGTCGGTAATATATTATTTTGAGACAAAGATCTTAAGTTACATTCACGCCTCTCTTGGTGTTCATTTATTTACTTCTATAGCGAGCGAAGTTGACTAAAACTAGGTTTTTTATTTGTATAGTCAGGTGTACAGGGTAGAATATACGGCATAGTTGCAGGGTAGAGTACTCACTATAGCTATACACGGTAATTTTGTTAAACTTCACGCACCTGAAACTATAAAATTAAAAATACATGTCTAATATTCTTTATTATTTAAATGATGGACTAAATAGATTTTCGATTTTCATACCTTAGTTTTTCTCTACCCTGTTATGCATATTGTAAGTACTCTACCGTGCTACTATGCCGTATACTCTACCCTGTGCCCCATGATTACTCAGAATTAGTAATAGAAATCTCTCAATTTAGTCAATAACTTATTTAGTATGCAGGTAAGACAATACAGATTGATTTAGTACACAGACAGTAACTATTAGGTGACTACTGACTCGACTAATATGTAGTTATGAAAATAATGGATTTTAAAGCATACAATTTAGTATAATCTATTGCCTCTGTACTGAAGCAATGTTTATTTTCTTACATGTCTACTAAATAACTTGTTTATAATTTTAATTTACGCAAGCCATACTAAATTATTATGCTTTCGGCTTACTCACGTAACTGTAAGACGAGGAACTCGAATACGAGCCTCTAGCATGGCTTGAAACTAGTCGAGTACCTTGTCAAACAGTTCCGTTATTAAGCCGAAAACATAACAATAAACTAAATTACTTGATTGATTGTTACAACATTAACGCTTACAGATTCTTTTTACTATTTTCTATTTTTTTGTCGTTCCCCAGTTTGTTTATTTATCTAAAAATACGTGTACTAAATTTTATTAATATTAACTTTTACTAAATGAAAATATATACAACTTAATATATAAATAACTATGAACTAAAATATTTACACATTAAAAAAAGTAAATTAACTATTATCTATGACACAGAACTGTGAATTTGTGAACCTTATTCTATATTATATTATTATGCAATTTTGTTATAAAATTGGGCGGGTACATGTCGAATATTATTGAATATTCGTATTTCGTGGAATTGTACTTGTCTCCTACCTCTTTAAAAAATAATGGCGTAATGTTAAGGTTTTTGTACCTATATTTGTAAGCTTCATGTTATTTGCTGTTTATACCTTAGTTTTATCTAATAGTCTAATTGAATAGGGTGTATACAGGGTGAAAAATACGTAAACGGAGAGCTTGTTCAACGAGGTCGATACTAGACCGCTTTCAACGCTCTGATTAGTCGGTTCTATGGAGCCGGCCAATCAAAGCGCTAAACGCGGTCTCGTATCGATCTCGTTGAACATAAAAGCAACTTGTACTAAGCCCTACTAATGAAAAAGTATTAGATATGTATTATTCTAATAAAAAAGAAATAACTTGTATAAAATGATGGTACTTGTGAATTACTTAAGTAACATGTATGGTATTTTTAACTGTCAAATACCGCGCGGTCACCGGTGATGATAATGACGGTACTCAAAGAGTCATTGAATCATCGGAAAATACATATCGAATATTTTCACTTAAACCACTAGATGTACATTGAAAGTACTCCGTGATTCACCTGTTGTTACACCCTGTATATAAATAAGACTTATATGTGCCTATATGTACATTGCTATTTAAACTGCCTCGATAATATTAAGGTATATTTTAGACATGTTTTACGAACAAATACACGAGTTATATGATTTGAAAGGTAACCTTTATTTCGATAGAAATAAGGGTCATTTTTGTGTTATTTTTTACCAGATTTGGTGTGCTTTAGTTCGTAGATGAGATTGCCTATGTGCCCGAATTTTTATAGTAGATTCTCCTCTATTACTTTTGGGTCTTGATGGCGGAAAATGAACGTTCATTGGTTCACTAAAAATTGTTATAAGCGCTAGTCGAACGAAGGTGTAGAGAAGTTTATTTCTGGGATTGAAACGGGCATTCATTAAATTAATTTGGACTTCAAGCTTCCTTGTGCGTACTGCTAAGGAGTAGAATTCTTTGCCAGAATCTATATTTCCTAGCGCTTGTCTACCGAGAGAGTAGAAAACTAAATGTATGGGGGATGACACTGACAAGTGTCAAAATTTACGTCAATTCCATATGATTTAGTTTTCTACTCTACGAGTAGACAAGCGCTAAATGGCATTTGGCTACAGCTAGCGAGATAGTGGTCAAACGTCGGCCCATCAAATATATAAAAAAGACTTTCCTAATAACTCCTTCAGTAAGCATTTAAAGGGCTGTTCAAGTTAAGTATTATTTTAATACCTATCTCAATATTTGTTAAGTCGAAAATAACTTAAATTATCTCGTCTCCAATTACATGGAAATCAAAACAAAATTGAGATGTTTCGTCATTCAAAAATGAATCGTTGGAACTTCAATGCCTCAAGTCAAGATATTTCAAAATAATTGTACTTCCATTCAGTGATTTGATGATAGAATGATTTATTTTGGTAATAGGGTAGACGCCTAATTTTTATTTTAATATCCGTCTGATAGATTATTAGAAATCATTAGACACGTATTTTTATTTTCTCACAGAAACGAATGCTTTCGACGATAGATTGATTTGAAATGTCGCGTGACGTCACTTCTATGTACATTTTATACGTATAAATGACGTTTTAGCCCCCACTCCTAAACTTCGATTCGTTTTATCTAAGTATATAGACAAAATAAAAAAATACGTGTCTAATATTTTTTCATTGCCTAACTTACGGACTAATTACATTTTTAATTTTCATACCCTGACATCATCCCAATTCAGGGAAAAGTAAGTATCTTCATTCGAGAAACTTTCTGCCCCAGCGGCCGTCGGGTGTCCACAGTATGTACCCTGTCCAATGCTACTTCAGCTTATTGTACGCTGGGCTATGTCGGCGACCTTCGTCCGTTTGCGGATCTCCTCATTTTGTTTCAGTCGCTTCCATCATATCTGGAAGGGTGAGACCTATGTTCAGGCCGGCCTCGTTGGCCAAGTGGCCGCAAGTGCGACTGCCGGGCATGGAGTCTCAAGTTAGATTCCCGGGACGGACAAAGTAATGCAGGGTTTTTTCAAAAGTCTCAGTAGTAGCACGGAGTCTGGAATTGTGCCCGGTATATTACATGGGAGTTATATAACAAAAATAGTAAAAAGGGGGTGTTACATTGTACAGTGGCATCATATGCCGTAATATGCACCTCTGCCTGCCCATTCGAGGATAAAAG